TGAGTAGGCGGAATGTGTCCAGCCTGACAACTGGTGCATATGTCTCGAAGAAATCAATGCTGGGTATCTGTGAAAATCCTTTTGCAACAAGTCTGGCCTTGTACCTGGTGATTTTCCCATCACCATCCCTTTTCAATCTGTAAGTCCACTTGCAATCCACAAGTGATCTGTCCTTGGGTAATTCTTCCAGTTGCCATATGCCTAAGGAAGTCAATAGATTGTATTCTTCATCCATTGCTTTCTTCCAATGATGCCAGTCTGGCCTTGTTTTGGCTTCTTCAAGGCTTAATGGCTCATCACTGAGATTGTCTGCAGTTTCCCCAATGCATGCATAGTCTATTGCAACATTTACAGCTTCCAAAGATGATTCTTCTGAGGTACGCTGTTGTTCCAATGTTTTCACAGCTCATACACTTGGATTATGAAGTGTCCAGTAACTCAGTTGAGTCTTTGATGCAATCCGGACCGATTTGTCACATGGCTCGATCACTTTCTCATGCCATATTGGGAAATTTGATTTGATCGATGACATATCAGGGGCTATTTTCTCTTTTGGTTCGGCATTTCTGGCATCCACAGAATCATCCGAAATGCCATCATTTCCATCCGGAGTCTGCTCGACTTTGCTCCCTGACTCCCCCTCGAGCAACGAAGGGTGAGAGACTATATAGTCAGTGTCTATAGGCTCTGTAGTGTTGTTTTCAGGGAATATAACATTTCTTGAGGTCTGAATCTGCCTGGTTTGAGGGTTATAATATCTCCAGGCCCTGGATTCATCTGTAAGACCTGTGAAAATAAATTCCCTTGACTTTGGGTCCAGTTTTGACCTCTTGTTATCTTGCTGCAACACCCAGCACTTTACTCCGAATTCCTGAAGTGCCAAAATATCTGGTTTTGTGCCCTGAAACACTTCTTCTGGAGTTAGATCATTCTTGATGGCCCTGGTTGGTGATCGGTTCTTCAAATATGTGGCATATGCCACTGCCTCGGACCATAGAAACTTTGGTAAGTGATGTTCTTCTAGCATGGCACATGCATGCTCCACAAGGGTCCAATTTATTCTCTCAGCAACTCCGTTTTAAGATGGAGAGTATGCTGCAGTCAATTCCAACTGTATGCCATTGTCCTGGAGGTATTCCTTTACCTCTTTATTGACATATTCTTTTCCATTGTCAATCCTCATAAACTTCAGATCCTTCCCTTTGTGGACTTTGATGTATTTTTGATACTGCTGGATCTTCTTTCGAATTTCCATACCTTGCTTTGACTTCAAAAAATACAACATTGTCCTTCGGGATTTTCTATCTGTGAAGCTTATGTAATACCTTTCACCATGGATACCCTGAGTTTGGGCCGGCCCCCATAGATCCGAAAATGTCATTTCCCCTATTTCAGTATAGTCCCTTTTGACTTCCTGTGGAAATGGCTTGATATGATGTTTGACTTTTATGCAAGCTATGCAATCTGTCTGAGGCTTGGCTGACTCATCTATATCTATCCCCTTGACCATTTTCTTCCTAAATAGTCTCTTTACTGATCCCATATTTAAGTGGCCTAATGTTTTGTGCCACTTTTGCCATGATCGGGCTGATTTCGTAGCATGGGCCTGGGTTATTTCTGGAACAATGATGTCAAGGCTGTACAGCTTTGATATTTTATCTCCATGGCCGATTATCTTGCCATGTGGTGAGATAATATCTATTCTGGACTCTTTGAATCTGAGTTCAAATCCAGCATCTGTAATGTGCCCTATCGACATAAGATTGAATGGTGCATCAGGACAGTGGATACACTCCTTTAGTGTGACCAGAGTGATCTTTTCCCCTTCAACCATTTTAATCTTGACAGTTCCCCTTCCCAAGCCTTTGGATTTGCCTACACCAATGACTTCATGTCCTGGGGTTTCAATATAGTCAGAAAAATATAATCTATTTTTGACTATATGTCTGGTAGTGCCAGAGTCCCCTAGCCATGATACTCCTGAGAGTGAAGTAAGTGTGACGTCTGTTGCACAAAATACGTAGTCATCTTCTTCTGAGTCCGATTTGGCAATATGTGCCTGAGTCTGGCCCTTTCCCTTTCCTTTCCATGACTTTTCAGAATTCTTTTTCCCATTTGGGCAATTTGTTCTGATGTGACCAGTTTCCCCACAACTGTAACATGTGACTTTTGAATTGGACTTCTTGCTATGTGCTGCAAGTGTCGTAGTCCGATCAGAAGTCTTTTCCTTTAGTCGGATGTCTTCCTGAAGAATTCGGGAAATCAACTTGTAAGAATCTTTCAAGTCAGCAGTATCCACTGATGAGATGAATGAATTCCATGATTCTGGGAGTGATGTAAGCAGTGTGATAGAGAAGTCCTCCTCTTCGACTTTCTGCTTAAGGGATGCCAGCTCCTCCTGATAGGACCTCAAAGTCCTAATATGCTCCTCTATGTTTCCTCCTTCTTCGCACTGAGCTCTGAAGAATTTCCTTCTGACAAGGACAATTCCCATGGGTCCCCTAGACTCATACATATCTTCCAGAGCTTTCCAGGCTTCTGCCAAAGTCTTTGAACCAGCAATATATACCAGCAGGCCATCAGAAACCCGCAATCTTATTGTTAAAAGAGCCTTTCTATCACTCTTCTTCCAATCTGCCACCAGTGTCATGTCTGCCAGGGCCGGAATGCTTCCATCTGCATAATCAATTAGTCCTAAATTGGTTAGGATATTGATCATCTTGATTTTCCATGTCAGATAATTTTTTGGGCCCTTAAGGGAGTCAATTCTATACACGGACTGGCTATCCATGTGGTTCTACATGTGTACGTAAAGTACGAAAGTGTGCGAAGTGAGTAGCGACATAAGTTCAGTTATGGCCGGGGCCCATAACCTGTTGTAAGTAGAGAGCAGAGTAATGTAACAGAGAACTAGAATTAGCCTCTCGAGAGAGAAACATTCTACTTAAATACATTTTGTATTACTTCGAGATCTTTCTATGAGATACTAAATAAGTCTGGATCACGATCTAAGTCAGCTGCCACTGACTGGCATCGTATCTTCGAGTACATTCTCGTACTTGCTCGGGATTGCTATCCCAACAGGTCTGGAGCCAAGTCAATAAGTATAGAAATGTCAAAGTATAAGGTAAGCAGTAAGTATATATAAATAGAATATGATATTAAAGCCATGAAAACTGAATCTCAGTATATGCCAGGAGATTCCTGAACCTTTGGTACCACCATTTTATCATGATACTTTGATATATTTCATACTTTAGATAGAGTATTCTAGATACATTTTGTAGTATATAAAGAGCAAGAACACTAAGAGAGGAATACTGTAATGAGCATACTGCAGACCTCTGGTTCCAATCCAACTTCTATCATTCAACTCCACATTTGATCAGACTCTGTTTCTTAGTTTCTATTTCATATTCCATTTTATATTTCACCTACTAATTTCATCTCTTTAATTTGTCACATCTAGATTCCATCATGATAGCAAATAGATGTTATATCAGAATCCTCAGAATTCTGACTTCTCTAGCTACAATATTCCAGATATAGGCTCTATCACTAGAACCTGATTCCTTGGACTCCACTCTAATATATAAGCTGTAGAATTACTTGTATATACCTCAGTTTGAATATCAACTTAGATTAGCCAACTCTCTCTTCCATTTGACCTTCAAGTCAAACTATTGTCTCCAGTCTGCAGACCTCTGACTCCATAGGACTGACTCACTTCATCTGTCACTCTATGGACCTCTGTCCATATCCATCTTAGGGCTTTGGCTCAGAGGTGACATTGCTAATAGCTTCACCAAGGCCTACACACTCCATGGCCTCTTCTGTATGCATTCAGTCTCTCTTCTCTACTGGCATGTTTCTAACAAACTCATAAAATTATTGTAGCTCTGGCTTCAGCCATCTTAGCAGCATCTATTGCAGCAAGCTCAGCTTGGTATTTGGCTGCTACAGTAGCCTCATCTCTTGCCAATGAGACTGGTGCAACCTCAATTTGAACTATTTCTCATAATCCTCTGTTAACCAATAGTGCCTCCATCATAATCTGCCATGTGTCATATAACCCAGCCTGCCAGATTAAATGCAGATCTCTGCAGTCCATCACAGATAAAAGATGATATGGATTAGATCCCATAAAAACAAGTCCAATGTAGGCTCCATTCTACAAAGACAAGGGTGATGCCAGCTTCTGTGAGAATTCACTCATCTTCTCCTATCTCTTCTCCAAATATAATGTCCAAAGTATATCAGAGAGAGTTGGGTTTAGAAGCTGGTGAGGTTTCATTAGCCAGCTCACAACTACTTAAATACAACCAATGTACCTATGGTAATAACTAAGCTGTATGTAGTCCAGGAAATGCATAGCTAGTTATGGCTATACATATGGCAACATTTCCATATACAGTAGCTACAGGACTACGAACCAATTCCAATTCCAACATCCTTACTTGAATAGTGGAATCGCTAATCACCAACCATGTATGATGAGGGGAAAGCTGTTGGGGTGGAAGTGCTCAATACAGATACGAGGCCTTGTTCATTCCGAAATGTACTATCATTGTACAGTGATCACGAGTGCCCAGCCGCACACGTGAATGATCGCTGCAAGATTGGCTAGAGGGTGTCAATTGAAAAAATCATGGGGCCTTGATTCCGTTCAGCCCTCAGAATAGCAAACTTGAACCAAAGGCATTTGAAATGTCAAATGACGGGATGCGAGTAAGGCAATCAGTGGCTGTACTCATATTCTCTGCACCCTACCACCTCTTGCTTCTGACTATCATCATACCTTCCTCTTACCAGGATCACGACTGGGCTTTACCATGCTATTCTTCTGCTATTCTTCATTGAATGGTATTCAGACACATTGTATCGAAGACAGAGATCCTTATGTCTTTGTCAACATCAGGTGCAGACGTTGAACAAGATGACGGCGGGTCGTCGAAATCGGCCGGGCGACTTTGTGGCATCTCTGATCATGCACTTCGTCAATAGAAGATTCTTCCCGATGTTTTTTTGCGCTTCAATCGCTCAGGAACATTGTTCTTCTTGGCTACAGCTGACATCCTGCCTGCTCCAAGGTTAACATTTTCCCAGCGTTCTCCTCATACAGCTTTTTCTTACCTTTCTAGTAGAGTCTTATTTTTATCGTGTCACGGGGAGAGTTTGCTGCGATAGAAATTTATGGGCGCTTATTTTGTTGTTTCTTTCATCGGTGCGAGTATAAGAATAGTGTTGTCCTGGTGGTATTTAGAGGCAAAGCCAGGTTCATTTGGGTGGGTTTTACATGTCTTGCTATTCAACAGTATAGGAATTGATGAACACATTTTATACTGCTAGACTTCTAGCCCATGCTCAGAAAAAGAAGTGTTGCATTCGGACGCACCAGCCCGAGACCATATCGCCAGGCCGCGCATCTCTTGCATCTTGGATTACTAACTCCTTTTCTGAGACGGCCGAAGGATCGGAATCGAAGTCATATGGCAAGCATTGGATTGAAAACGCGAGAACAATGGTTACGGCAACACATGTCCGACACGCACGATGAATTTATTCTTGCTACTTCGCCATTCTGTTAGCGGGTCCCCAATGCCAGTCAACAGAAATTCTATCCGTTTCTGTTACAGCTGTATCGTTCAGTGGAAGTCCTTCCATTTTGCTCCGTGTTATCTGAGTTTTTCTCATGCTAAGAGTCATGGAGGTGTCGTGATGCCGCCACATAGTCCGAGTCGGAAATTGGCAACCAGACTTCTGCCTTTCCATGGGCGCGTGTTTAGATGCTTAAATGCCCCTGCTTGGTAGATGGGAGTACCTACAATATCCTCATTCATCACCCACAATCGCATTTCGATGCCGATATTCATTGTTGCCGTGACAATCTTTGCTGCTTTATACATTCTCTACTTCGTTAGAGCACGGAATACTGGACCCCGACTTCCCTTGCCACCCGGCCCACCTGGAGACTGGGATATAACCAGCCTTTCTTCATTCTCGTACGTCCATCTCATGTAGTTGCAACTATTATTCTAAACGAAGAGCCTTTCAGATCACTTGAAACTCTGGAATCCCTCTTCGAGGAATACGGACCAGTCTTCACTCTACGTTCGGGCTCCAAACTCGCTGTTATGATCGGCAGACAACAAGCCGCCGTCGACATCATGGAGAAGGAGGGAGCAGCTCTCGCTGATAGGCCGAGGTGGACGGCAGCAAGTGAGATGGTTTCAGGTGGGATGAGGTTGCTTTTGCTTCAGTCTGGAGAAAGACTGAGGAAGTTTCGAAAGTGAGCTGTGAGAGAGATAGTTTGGGAGGGTGTGCTGATCGTCTCGGCAGAGCATTGCATACACATCTCCAAGCGAAGACAGCTAAGGACTACGAACCTCTGCAGATGCACTATGCGGCGAATCTCGTGAAGAATATCATTGGGAACCCCGCGAAGCATATGGATTATGCTAAGGAGTGAGCAGAGTCGATCTTCTCGCGTTGGTCTACTGAATTCATTTGTGTAGATATGCTGCGTCGTTCATTCTATCTCTAGTCTACGGTCGAACAGCGTCTGCGGCGGTGAACGATCCAGAGATACTTGCCATTAGACGATCTCTCAAGCGTATAGGCACTGCTGTGAGACCAGGGGCATATATGGTCGATGAATATCCTTTCTTGCGGTAGGTATATACCATTCCTTGCGAGTGATACTGATAAAGTATCCATAGATATCTTCCTTTCTACCGTCCGGAGCTGCGTTTATGGCACGCCGAGGAGCTTTCGTTGTATCGCAATCAAGTAGCGGGTGTCAAGGATAACATGGTGAGAGCTCTCTGTACTGTCTCTTCAACTATAGTACCAATACGGGGCTTGATTAGGACACGGTCCAACCGTGCTTTTCGAAGTATCTCCTCGAAAATAAGACCAAGCTTCGGCTGAATGACGACGAGCTTGTGTACATTGCTGGTACGATGTTCGGTGCCGGATCTGCCACGACGGCTAGTGCGATTAGCATCGTGATCATGGCCGCAGCATGTTTTCCGCAAATGCAAAACTGGATTCAAGACGAATTGGACGTTGTTGTAGGTCGCAAGCGAGGTGTGTATGTTTATTTCCTCTGAGTCGCGTTTTGCAAATTGATGAGCTTGAGATAAGTACCGACATTTGACGACTTTGCTGATTTGCCTCGGGTCCGGGCGTTCGTGCTGGAAAGCCATAGGTGGAGGCCCGTTGGTGGGAGCGGTAGGCTGATGTCTTTTCCCCTGCCATATACTTGCTAATATCTTTCGAAGGCTTTGCACACCGAGCATCGAGGGATATTGTTTGGGTATGTCGCATTGTTTTCGTCTGTAGAGGGCTATACACTGACCAGCTCAATCTTAGCGAAACTACTGCATCCCAAAAGATGCCACCGTCATTGGAAACCACTGGTCCATATGCCAGGACCCCTCAGTGTTTGCGGACCCGGAGATATTCGACCCTATCCGGTGGTTGAATGATGATGGGTCTCTCAAACATGGGTCCGATGCTTTGTTGTTGAATTTTGGTTTTGGTAGACGGTAAGTAAAGGGAAGTTGTTTGGTGGTATTCGTGCTGATTTGCGGTACGTAGGCTATGTCCCGGTAGACACGTAGCGGACCGCTCGTTGTTTATCACAACTGCCCTGCTGCTTTGGGCGTTCAGGATTTCGGAAAATGACAACGCGCCCATTGACCGGCGGGGATTTGTTGGAGAGGGGATTAGTATTACGCCTGATGCGTTCGAGGTGTGTTTCGAGAGACGGGTGGAGAAGATCGAAGAATTGTTGGGAGACGCAACTCGAAACGGAACCCTGGTGGCATGTATTTGATCAGCAAGTTCCGAACAATTCATCCTCATTTGCTAGAAGGCAACGAGTATATGGTTCATATTCCTTTCTGATCCGTAGACAACAGATCTCCACAATATGCTTATAGCATTGTCTTTGATGTGTCCTCCATTCTTCGTTCGAAAAGCCACCTATGAAAGTCTCTTTCTTGCACAATGCCTCAAGATAATTAGAGTTTTCAAACACGGGTATATAAACTATGCTCATGGACCTGGAACTTCACAGCTACCCTTTCTCGTCGCTTCGACGTATGCTCCCTTTCCCACACAACGATGAGCTCGTCCAATCACTTTGACAACGACACCGCTGAGATGCCATACGGATTCAATTTTCCGGACCATCCTATCACGCACACCATAGACTCTCTGCCTCCATACACCAACGACCCGCCTCCCTCTTCCTTGGAAGACCGTCAAAGTCAATTCAAAACTCTCCGCCTTGCGGTGCTCACCTGTAAGTCCCCACGTTCTTTGTTTCTTTCTCATGCACTCATATGCCACCACCAGTCCAACGGTGGAAAGCGGCTAACGAAAATGCACGACCGTACATTGAAGGAGAAATAGTTGTCTCCCCCAATGAGCGACAGTACCTCTCTGTTGATCAAGCCGTCCGCAAAATCAACGAGGAAGTACCGTGGCAGTACCGCATCCAGAGACCCGATGTATCAGTGCTTCTAAGGAAGAATGCACCAGATAGAAAACTGGAATGGAAGCTCATGAAGAAAGGAGATATTGATGGACTCTGGGAGAGGTGGGCTACCGAGGAGGTGCAGATCAGAGAAGCAGTCCGAAAAGAGAGGTTTTTTGGTGGTACGTTGCCTTTTCCTTTTCGGCTGAGACGTATTAGTCGATCTTAATTTCCTTTTGGCAGCAATTGATGTGGCAATCGTTCACTGTCAACTCGAAATGTTAGCTATCCAGGATGTCATAAAGAATTGGTCTTAAAGGACACGTCTCAATTCTCACCTACATACACCGTCCTTCGCGGTCAACATAATTATCGTATTGAATACCACTTCTACAAGATAGAACCTACACACGGCCTCACGCTCGTTAAAACCCTGTTTCTCTAGTATTCCTTGGGTGATGGTGGACTCCAGGTGAGCCTCTGACCCCACATAAAACTTGGAAAATATTCATTGTAGAATAATATGTATACTTCCTGATTAATCATATATCGGTATAGACTTCCTTAATCTCTGTGATGAAGAAATCCTCTGGGAAAATGTTCAGCTGAGGGACTCTACAGAGCCTAAGGGGATATAGTCATTGTGTTGCAGGCAAGAGCCATGATCGCAACGGTATTGAGCTGGTACTCTGCAGGATTCCCGACGAAAATAGCTGGGGTTAGCATGTCCGATGCTTATTTAGACTTCGGAGTCCTTCACACCTGCCGCACCGGAAGGGGAAGGAAATAGATTAACCGTGTGTGTGACCGGAGGATAGAAATGTCACGAAAAAGGTGTATCTATATTTGAGGGAACCAGTGGTGCTGCTCTTGAGTGGAGTCTTATAATGCTGGATCTGGTCCATCTTAAGAAACACGTACCATCTGATCTCATCGCTGTCCAGTTACCAAGTTAAACTTAGTGGCTTTTAGTGCCTGATCCCGCAGCATGGCGCGTAGCTGTTGGCTTCAGGTATTCGTCTATTGAGCGTTTCAAACATGAAGGAGCTGGAGATTGAATAAGTCCTGTGACGAAACATGCCCTAGAAAAGGATTCGGTCAAGGAAAATATAGTGTTAGGCATCAATCGTAAGGCAAATTTATGCTGTTTGTTCTTTCTACTGATGTGTTTGATAGTTGTGTGTCTGGTTTGCAAACACTAATCAGTGGCCAGCCTTGACTTTTTTGTGCTGGTCATTGGTATAGGAAGTGCCGCTCCCGGCGCTTATAGATTTGAACCTTTCTGGCGTGACAAGTTGGGGTCTCTCAGGAGGTATCAAAAATTCACGCGATGAGGAAGCAACAAACCGGCCATCATCCAGGAATTGACGAATCTCAAATTTATACTTTGCAGGCATGCTAGGGTAACAAAGCTAGTTGGACGGGTTGGCAAACCTGATGGCTATATTGAGATGCTGTGTCCCATAGACTCAGAAACAACGGCCATAGATGGTAGAAGCAATCCCTATTCTCCGGGTCTTAGCCATTCAACTGGCTCTTCAAGCCAGACATTTGAGGCCATTTAACTTATTGACATAGTAACGTAATGGCTCTCAGCACTTATTTTCGAGGAAGCTCCGGAAGAATGGGCCACAGCCAAATTTTTATAAGACAAAGTGCGCGCTGCCCTCAGTCCAAATATACTTTTTCGCTCATTTCTAGGTCAATTTGGACGCGTTCTTGGGTCTATTACGTACGGATTTACATAACAGGTACAGGCTACACTCTCTTGACGTTGTCTTCGACCATCTGATATCAGTCTGGACGATGTGTGCTGTTTGGTCTTTTCGTTCTATGCTCCTAAACCCGGCAGGGAAGTCAAAGCGCGCTGCGCTTTCTGTCAACTATTGTCCCGATGTATTCAAGACATTTTTTTCCCTTTTTATTCAACGTCTTTGATATAAATGATCAAGAATCTGTAAATCGCCACTTCTGGGTACCCTCGTTCCTTCCTCTCGTATCATCTTTTCCCCTTTCATCATGGATTGGCCGCTATCCCAGAAAGTTGGCGATCTCATCGTCGATATTGTAGTCGAAGAAGGCCATTCCCTGAACCACTTTTCCCTTATGTCTCGCGCCATGCTGTATCGAATTCGTTACGCTTCCACTGCGTCACGGCACGGAACACTGGCGAGGGTCAGAAACTTTACGACACCCTCCGTGCCTCTAAGAATATTCGTCCCTTTGTCAAAAGACTCTTCCTGTATGGATTTCCCTATGCAGAACGTCCGTCCGAGTTCCTGGAAGCCTTATGCTCCATGGTGAGGAAGATGCCAAGATATACAGGGGATGCTACCAAATATTCCACCCTCATTAGTTTTACCGCCTTGAAGGAATTTCACATCGAAGATTTTTCTTGCATCCGTCTTCCGCGCAAATTCTTCTCACAACTCAGTAAATGCATCGGCATCAGCAAGATTACCCTCCACAATACTGTCTTGTCATCGTACACCGACTTCGCTTTGATCATTCGAGCGTTCCCGAACTTGGGAGATCTGTATTTGAAATCTGTTTCTGCGACCGTTGACTCAGAATCATGCAGCTCTGTTCAAGACAATTCTGTGGCTCCTACAATCAAGACCCTCGATATCAACATCTCTGAAGAATTTTTGCTCAGAGTGTCCCGCGATATTCGCGAGGAGGCGGATGCGCCCGCTGCTATGATACAACTCTAGACACTTCGTATTTTAGATATCAAGGAGCTCAGCCACTGGGATCACGTCACGGCTATGGTACAAAGATCGGCGGAGACTCTGAAGGACCTTCAACTCGGTTATATCTAAACTGGCACGTAGTAATAATTTTCGGAGTTATTCAATGTTAAGAACTTACCCATACAGAAGTTTCCGTTCTCCATATCCTGTCTCTCCCCTCCCTGACGCACTTCCACATTCATCTCAACTTTTTCGAGGAGCAGCAGCGTGAACGTCTTAAAATGGTGGATCGATGCTTTAAAGACACCGCGGCCAACTCCGTGCCCCTGAAGAAGGTAACCATCACCCTGAAAGCGTACTCCCACGTCTACTCGCTCGACAGAGGACGCTTAGCTGAATCCCTAACAATGCCAACGATGCCCTTGGAGGAGAAAATGCACATTCTCACTCAACGGATCCGAGCGAGGAGATTTTCGGGGATGACGTTTGGCTAGACCTGGATGCTTGTCTGTGTTTGGTAACGGATGATCTCGTTATCAAGGTCGCTCGGGCTAGGCCTGGAGATCCATCTGAAGAGAGGGTTGATCGGTTGAAGAAAATCATCAATGGCAGCATGTGCCTGTGACGTTAGCGATGATAGTCGGTAGCGGCACACAAGGACGAATCAAGGACCGGGTTGAAGACACCTCGATTCGGGGGGATAAGGTAAGAAAGACTGGCGTAATTCTAGGCACGACCAAGTATTTATACGTAGATAAGAGTGGAGTGCATAGATAAGCATAGTTCAAATAAAGTCC